CGAGGTGTGAGATGTGTGTTTTTGGGTTATGCTAATACACAAAAGGGTTGGATGGTGTATAATTTGGAAAATCATAGGCATTTTGTTTCCTATGATGTGAAATTTGTTGATAGCTTGCACACTATAGAGAACATGCAAGCACCGGAGGACCACGTACGATGACACTTTCCCATGCACCTCCACATGGCCGGATGATTCATCCCAAAATATCAAAGGGAGTAGCACACATACGTGAAGGCATAAAGACACGAGAAATAATTCAAAAAGGCATGCCCATCCGATGGTGATTTCCACAACGGTTGAGCATGACACTGGTCCCACCGCTACAGAACCTTATGCTACCACTGAAGTCCACCCGAACAGAAGGGGGACTCGACAATGCCAATAGCCAATCTAGCATCAGGATTGCGGCATACAATGAAATACCGTGAAAATAACTCCCATCCCGACGTTCAGTCAGCTCAGTTGGTTGAATAAGGTTACCTGTATTCCATAACTCATTATGTAAATTATAATCATTTTTTCGATTCTTCACAGTGCTTTTGTTGCAGCTATATCAGCAACTAAAAAACCATCTAGTTTTGAAGAAGTTGTACATGATCCACAATGGAGAGAAGCCATGCAGCGAAAAATAACGGCTATGGAGCAAACAGGAACCTGGTGGATTCAGGAGTTACCACGTGGCAAGAAGGCTATTTATTGCAAATGGGTCTTCAGTCTAAAATATAAAAGTGACAGTTTAGTGGACCAGTACAGAGCACGGTTAATGGTTTGCAGCAACATATAAGTACAAGACATTGATTATAGCGAGACTTTTGCAGAGGTTGCTTAGATCACTTTATGGGCAATGATGGGCTCCTTGTTGCTGGGTAGAAACAGGTTTTATGCAGTGCCAAATCTGTCTCTTTTCCTATAATGCATAATCATAAGGTGCAGTCCAACACAGGCCTTCATTTTCCCAATCTAGACCGATATTGATGGCTAGTCGACAAACTTATTTATTGTACTTTCACTCAGCCAAATATTAGCTATTCGGTTCATATTTTTTCCCAACATATGAAGCGTCCTAGGGTGGCGCATTGTGAAGTTGTCCTACTTGTTCTACGCTACCTTACTTTGATAGGTGGATTCAGCTCTTACTTTGTGGTGGATTCAGCTCTTACTTTGATAGGTTATTATGATTCTGATTGGGCTAGTTGTCCGGTCACATGTCGTTCTGTTAGTGGATATTTTGTTTATCCATTGCGTACTAAGAAACATGCAACAGTCTCTCGTTCCTCGACAGAATACTGATCCATGACTGGATTGACTTGTAGACTTATTTGGCTGCATAATTTGCTTCGTTCTTTGGGTGTCACACATTCCTCCCCAATACGTCTTTATTGTGACAATCAAGCCTCTTTGCACATTGCTTCCAATATTGTGTATCGCGAGCGAACCAAGCATATTCAACTCGATTGTCACATTATTTGGGATCATATACACGTCAGAACTATAATTCCTTATATCTTTACCATTGAGCATCCTGCTGATCTATTAACTAAACCACTTGGAGAACGTCAATTTACTTATCTAATGTCCAGGATGGCCATTTGTGATCCCTGTTCTCCATCTTGGGGAGGGGGGGGGGGGGCTCTACATATTTTATTGTTACATGTTATTTCTTTGTAACTTTTTTATTCCCTTGTACATACGCCTAGTTAATGACAAGTTTATCAGGTTGTTGTAACTTTTTTATTCCCTTCTCCATTTTAGGTGTTTGTGTTTATCAGGTTGTTGTAACCATTAATGACAAGTTTTTCAAACGCCTAGTTAGTAGCAAAGTTAGGTGCCCGTGAGATTATTTTTGTACGCTACATCAAATGTATATATGCATGGGTCTCCTGTTGAGATAATCATGAAACATTAATACAAAATTCTTCCCATACGTGACTATTTTACACAATTTAATGGTAGCAACCATGGTAGACATGGAGAGAACATGTAAACCATGGCCTAGACCATTATATTGGAGGAAGCAACAAACTAGAGGTGTAAATAAATGGTGGATCTTTATCAGGGCCGTAAAGGGATGAGGGCTAGATAAAGGGACCATGGACAATGGAATTAGCATGTTACACAAGGAGGATACTAGTCAAGTTCACACATTAGGAAACATGCTTGTAGATTGATGAATAATCAAACACCGTGAAAGATGAAGCAAAATAGGAACATAATGTCGATGTCTAGATGAAAAAGAAGGAATTCATTAAAATGAAAGACGGAAAATTGAGTTGTGTAATTCCAAAAAACAGAATAGTGGCAAGACGTGGGTGGTCAGCTCACCAAGATCAATGGGCTTCCAAGGAATGGAAAGCAAGGTGACACTTCAGAAACTAGTACGACTTATTATGATAGGTCATCACTATACTTTAAATCCTATTTTACATTATTTTAGTTTAACATTTATTTTGGAACTTAGGGATTGAGAGTGTATTTCATTCCCGTGTTGGTTAGTTTTTATCTCGTTAGGAGTACTAAACCTTCTAGGGCCGAATCATTCCTTAGAACTTTCAAATGGTATGTGAAATAATTTGTTTAGGTTGATCTTTTTTCTACGTTTGAATAGAGAGTGAGAGGACATTGACGTTATTATGAGTCTTGTTGGTAAATGATAATGGTTTTGAATCTAATGAAATGTTTTGATTTCAATATAATAGATTTGTAATAATAAAAACTACATGAGCTATGTTTTAGTCTTATTCGTGTCTTTTTCCCACAAGTAATTTGGCATACTGGAGAAAAATAAAATACAAAGGTGAAAAAGTAAACAACGCAAAATCACATTAGAAATACAAAGAGAACAAAGTAATAATAAATAGAAATTCAAACACAATACCACTTTGGTCCATTCAGAAAAGAAATAATATGTTCAATTGTGGATTTAGATCAAGACTTTTCAGACCAGATCATATAAATATAACAATTTTGGTTCTGATTCAACCTAATTTTGGTCTGCTATTGTGTTTGGTTGGTGCTGGCCCCTAGCCTGAAAGATTGGCATTTGCGTTTCCTCCCTGGACAAACGAGGCAGCAATGGCAGCAACATTATACACACCATCTCATGTTTTAGTCATTGTTTAGTGGTACTTCTCATATCGCTGAACCGTAAGCCCCCTCCTTATGTTTACAAAAAGCCACACTTGTTTATTGTTACAATATTGCACCTCTCATGAGATATCGTGCAACACTAATGTGATATATTGTGTGTGCGCGCGCGTGTGTGTATATATATACACATAAATACATATAGAGATGTACATGTGATTAATTTGCGAGATGGGCACCCATGGTCACATACATGTCTCTCTACAGTCATTATCGGTCTCGATTCAATATGCATACCTTCCAATGGGCTAATGCAACGCCTCTTTGGTCCATTCTGTTCTAGTGTGAATTATGTAGTCCCCTAATTTGACAATAGGACATTGATAAATATATGAATAATATCTTTTTTTTGTTATTATTAACACAATTAATCTTCTAGTGTGTTAACATCTCTAGTATATCTCATATTTATTATAAGTAATTGGATGCTAATTATTTACAAAAAAATGTCATATCGCAACTCTTTCTTTGCATTTGATAGATTGCAAATGATAAATCTCGACATTGTGCTAGTTGATTTGGAGGAAATGCTAAATAGTTGTAGTTTTTTCAATCAAAATCTTACATTATATTAACAAAATTTGTTAATGGTAGTGTTTTCTTTATAATAAATCTCTTGTGAATTCAGATTGAATGCAAATATAAAAGGAGCACAACTCTAAGGGGGTGTCCCCAAATAGGACTTTATAGGTTTCAATGGATATGGATTTTTCAAAACTCTATGCATGGAAATGAACATAATCTATCAGCCTATCAGGTTATAATGGAATTTTGTGGAATTGGGGAGCTTTGGTATATGGCTTCAAATCAGCATTATCCTCAGGGAGCAGATATTTGACCAATGGATGCTCTCTAGTTAGGAATCTTCTTCACAGTGATGCAGAGCAGAGAGCGAAGCAAATATTCTAGCGACTAGGCCTAGTATTTGTCAATGCAAAGTAGAAGTCTCGGGGAGAAGATGACGACAAGAGTTTTTAGTAGGCCTTAGAAGTGACAACGAATGAAGGCATGAAGAGGAAGGAAAATTAGTGGGATGAAAGAATTCCATGGAAATCTGATGACAATGTGAAGATTTATGGTGGATTATTTCCTTCATATTTTAGGTTATGAGTTCATCAAAATCCAAGAGTTAAAACCCCTATGGAATTGTTAGGGATATCAGATTTTGCAGGATTCCTTTAAATTCCACATTGAGCACCATGAAATGCTATGAAATTCCATAAAATCTAATAAAATCCAATAGAATCCTAATCGAGAGCACCCTTAAATGGAAAGCCTACTTCATACAACCAGTTGTATGATGCTCACAGTACAATTGAGTATTATAATTTATAAGCATGTAGTATTGTATCATGATCAAAACGGAATATACTCATTTCTTTTAACAAAAAATACACGGTTGTACGGTGTTCACCGTACAACCGGCTATATGGTACAATTTGCCTTAAAATGTGTTTTTACCTCACACACTCATATTGTTTCAATTGGTGTCTTGAATATCAATAGAATTTAAATAGAGAATCTTTGAATCATCACTACTTGTCATACACACAAGTATGTCTAGTGTGGTGCAATCCCCTCATCAGTCTTCACTCATGCAAGTCCCTGAAAAGTCCGAAACCATATTATATGTGTTGTTTTTCCTACTAAATCTAGTATAGAATCTTTTATTTTAGTTTTTTGGAGGTGAATATTTAATTTTTCATACCTCATTGGCTAGTTATCCATTTTTTTCCCGCAGAGACTCATATAACACACGCGAAAATGTGCGCGTCTTTATCAAGCGCCCCCAGCTAGCCAGTTAATTATCCGCGTGTCCCATAACATCCAACACTACGCTTGGCCTTTTCAATAAAATGTGAGAAGAAAATGGAAGTAGAAATTCTGAAAGGGGAAAAAAATACCAAAAACGAAAAGAGAGTACGAATCAGCGAGAGATAGAGTACCGCAGCGAAGCGGGGAGAGCGATCGGGGAGAGAGATACCGGCGAGTGGGTCTTCAGTACTTATCGGTTTCTTCAGAGAGTGTCAGAATGCGAACCAATTTGCAGGGAGAGGAGTAGCAATGGAAGACGACGCTTGTATCTGGGTTCCAACGAACAAGTAGCAAGAAAGAAAATCATCAGAAAAGCGAAGTTCTTTTGTCATTGATGTGTCATTTTATGAATCTGAATTTAGAAATAAGTTCCTGAGAGCTCCAATAAGGTCAGCCCAACTTTTCTCTTTCTCGCGCTCTTAGTATCAGGCTCTGATTTTGAGCTTGAATTATTGTAACCTCATTTCCCAGTTGCAATGAATCTGGAAGTTGAAGTTTGAAGCTTCAAGTTTTAGTCTTTGGTTAAAAGGTGGCATTTTGAAATTGGTTTGGGTTTTCTGGGAATTGGGAGTGTAACTCATTGATTTGGGAGGGAAAGTGGACTTTCCTTGGAATTTGTGGTCATATCATTGTTTTGAGTGGATGGTTAATTTGGTCGAAGGTTCAGATAGTGGTGTTTGGGGTTTTGGGTTCATGATTTTGAAATTTCCCGTTTGGGATTTTTGGAGAAAGAGTTAGTTTGTGGGTTTCGGATCTTCAAGTGTGAACGGGCTCTGCCCAATCTACAGTTCACATGAAGTGAATGTGTTGGATATGGTTTTAGGCTCATCTATTTCGGGTTTGCTATTAGAGTCGTTAGATCTTGTTTGGAGGATTAGCATTTGGACATGTTGCAAAACCCTAATTTAGCAGAGGAATTGAGATTTTGTGGTTTAGTATGTGTTCTTGAGCAGAGGAGTAACTGTTGCAGATTTTTAATTGTCCTTTTGTGCATGGAATTATAGGTGCTTGCAAGAGATGAAACCGCCACAGCCACATCAGCAATCACGGATCAATCTTGTAGAACTGAAATCTCAGATAGTGAGGAAGCTTGGACCAGAGAGGTCAAAGCAATACTTTCATTACTTGAGCAGGCTGTTAGGCATGAAGATAGGCAAGGTTGAATTCGACAAACTTTGTTTCCGGATTCTCGGAAGAGAGAACCTTTCACTCCATAATCACTTCATACGTTCAATCTTGAAAAATGCCTGTAGTGCGAAGGTCCCACCATCAAATCATGATGACAATGAACTTCTAGTGCATGCTACTGCAGGTTCCAATAAAGAGACTTCAGGTGATGCCGTTGAGCGAAATGGACCCCTTGGAACCAAAGGGAAGAGTATTTCCACTTCTCTACGACCAACAATTACTCGACCGTGTGATTCTAAAGTTATTGAGGAGAATAGGGATTACATTGCACCTCGTGTAGATGATTTGGGCGTTGACCCTACAAAAGTTTCAGTATTGACTATACCAACATCTGTTCCTGTTTCTGTACATAACAAGGACGGAGTGAGAAATGAAGGGGAAGAAAGTCGTGCTAAGGTCCAACCTCAAGCTCCACTTGGCATTCCATTATGTAACGTTAGAACATTACCATTGATGAGTGACAGTAAGCGTGTTTGTACCAGTGGTGCTTTGTTAGACACTTTGACTCTACGAGAACGCATGGAGCAGATTGCTATAAAACATGACCTAGAAGGGGTGCCTATAGATTGTGCAAATTTATTGAATAAAGGTTTAGATTCTTACTTAAAAAGTATAATCATACATACCGTTCAACTTGTGGAAGCAAGATCTAGGCGTGAGGTAACAAAACCCATAAAGAAGCATCCGATAAATGGGAAGCTTGTTAATGGAAAGGAGCTACGTACTTGTAGGCCTTTGGAAGTCATAAAGGAGAACACCCCACCTAGCGTAATATCATTGCAGGATTTTAGGGTTGCCATGGAAATGAATCCCCAACAACTAGGTGCAGACTGGCCATTGTTGCTTGAGAGAATATGTACAGAGTCATTTGATGAATAAATGAATAATATGTGATTTCCTTTGGTACACGGTCAAGTAGCTCTTGGTGTGGTCCCTACTCCCCCCGGATGCATGAAAGTCATCTGAAAAGATGGTCCTCTTCTCTGTTCTCTCTAAGGCCTTTATGTAAAACACTAAAACTTGATGCTGGAATTTTCTTAGTGGCCTTTATGAGTAGTCTTGCAGCTGTTGACATTTAGACAGGCGGTGGGGACAAGAGTGCAATAGCAGGGGTATTTTTGTCTTCGACACAACTCAATTTCACAACCACCGAAGGGTTGGCCCCTCCAACAGAAGTTTGACCATCTGGTTTTCCTGTTGTATGATTAATGTAATTCTCACCGCATATTTTCTGCATTGTCTTGTAATTTATGGTCAATGAGGATTTATAGAACAGTTTTGCAGGAATAATAGAATAGTTCATTAGCTGGAAGGAAAGGGTGAACCATTCTAGAGTTCATGTGTATGGCTGTATGTATCATCAAAGTCAAGATTTGATTGGAATCCACCATTGACAGAAAAAAAAATCCATCACTAGCTCGACCTATTAAAATCAAAATTTTTACTTTCTTTTTTACTTCTGGATGTGTTAATTTATTCTAAAATTTTCTGTTTCTCTTAGAAATGCACTTCACAGTTTTAGTGTATATACAAGGTTCTGGTTCTGTGTCAAACACACTTTGTAGTCATTCTTTTGAATGTTTTAATGAGCATTATTCAGTTCATACTTTCAATCACTGTTGAATTACTTGTGTTTCTATAACAGGGTGATTCTATAAGTATGAGTAAAACATAACACATTTATCCAAATAGGAGTATTGATGTTGTTGTTTCTGAAAACAAGACTCACCCACTCCTAAAAAAGGAATTGTTTACTACTTTTATTCTTTTTAATAACTTGATGAGTGCTGAGTCCTTATTTTAGAACAAAATAGAGACACTGCTGGTTTTTGCGCATGGCCATATTTTACGCGTATTTGCAGTAATTTGTTATCTCCTGATACATTTCCAACATGGTAATTAATGTTATTTAGGATGTCAACTAAACAGATGCAAGGATGCCCTGACTAGTAGCTATATGAGGACTGAAAAAAGATGCATTTATGTGTTCTCATTCGATGTTTATTAGTCAGGATGATATGGTTATACATAAAGAAGATATCAGTTCTATTGAGCACACTAGAACACTGTCAGAAATCCCAAATGATGAAATGATTTCAGATATTTTTTCTTTCTTAACTTTAATTCTGTTATGCTGTTTTTCCCTATTTCCTTTTAGGGGTAATTGTTTAATCATTGAAGGTCAGAACTCTTCAATTAACGCTGTAAGATCAAGACTGATGACTTCAGCTCTTTTCTGGTACTCTGTATTTAGCTATTTGTGAGGTATCATGATTCATCTGTTAAATATATGTGGGGTAATCTGAAGTGAGGTTCATTCCTGGAGGACCAGTGGTCATTATTGCAGGTTTAAAGTTTGAACCATCTAACAAAGTCTTTCTTTCTCCAAGTTTTTTTACATCTTACTCTGGTTCTTGTCGGTTATAATAATAGAGACACATAAGTGTCAACTGATGTTGGTTTTATAGAAGAAGTTGTTTGTATTTCCCCTATGCGATTTTAAAAAAGCAAATACGTAGTACTCCCTCTGTCCCTAAATTATCTTCCAAAGTACATTTGGCACGAGGATTAAGATAGTGGGTATTGTGTGGTAGAGAGTTGTGCAAAAGAGAGAGAAATGTGTGAAAATGTGTAAGAGTTGCTTTGAACCACAAATTCTTTGCCAAAAAAAGGAAATTTGGAAGATAATTCAGTGGAGGGAGTACTGTTTATGTACCGACAATCTGCCTTAGTTTCTATTAACCATACAACCACTCTACTGTTGATTTTGCAGTTCTATATTTAACCTATAACCTATATGTTGCTTTCATGCCATGAAAGATCCGGGGAAGGAAGTATGCAACTTTAACTTGATCTGTTGACTCTTAGAACTTAGATGCTGTTTGCTAATTACAGGATGATTTTTTAGATCAATCCTACAGTGGTTGATGCTGATGGCTTTTATGAGATTTTTCTGTCTCCAGTTTTATTCCTTGAACAGGTATTGTATTTTGAGATGATAAATACTTCGTATATTTTTTCATATAGTACCAAATCTTTTTGAAAATTACATGATATCACCTTGGCAGTGCATGCTGCTAAAAAGATGCAGCAAATATACTTAAGTGTTCAACTGCTCATGGTGATGATTGTGATAAAATTTAAAATTGACTTAGGGGGTCACTCAATTACGTTCTAAGACTTTTGGGTCAAACTACATGAAAAATTTAAATTCAACCTTTTAGCTTTTCCAATTCAAGTTCTTATAAAGCTATCATTCTCTTAACTTGTCTGATGTGGAATTCAAATGATCTCCGTAAGTGGAGAATCAAGTCTTTTGAATAGGTTATGCCAGATCATAGTATGAGCTGAAGCGAGTGGACTAGATGAATTCATGTGGGAGTTGTGGTCTTATTGGGAAAAGCATCACTAAAAGATTAAAACCAATCTATTAACTAGTTCAAATTATAAACCACAGTTTTTCTTCGCCTTTCTGGTGTGAGACTCTAACAAGAAGGGTATGCTTAGAAACGTGCTGTAAATCATATTCATAATTTTCCTTCCCCCTTCAATTATCCTGTTCTGTGACATAACATCATTCAGGTTGGTGAGAAGAGATATTCTATTTACAAGTGACTAGCGTTTTCTTCTCAAAGCCGGCTTAGTACGGGGCGTAGCAGGGTGAAATAGATACACAACCTTCAATTTACACTATCATATACTGATATAGACACTAAATATATCTGGACTCATATCATGTAACAGATCATACAGTCATAGTATGATTCCTCAGCATGTCTTCCTTGCACACATTTAGAATTACTCTATAGTGCAGCAGGTCGACTAGCGGGAGAGAGAGACGAGCAACTTGTGTGGTTTGACCAAACAAAAATTCTCCAAAAAGGTCGGTGTTGTTTCTGCTTATTATTTGCATTATCATCATGCCCAAGAGAAGTCAGCTTGGATTCTGCTTGTCTTAGCATCTCCCACATCACCTGGACATCCTCGTACCCACAAGTTTGTATGTCATCATGAAGCTTCAAAAGGCCTGCTGCACCTGGGAGGGGAAACCGAAAGCACGTCAGTTATTTGTAGTTCCATTCTGGCGAATTTTTGCTTATCGAGATAGTATGATAGAGAGATGCTAATATGATTTTTTTTTGTGCAACACAGATAAAGGAAGTGGGCACCACGGAGGCCATATAGGGAAACATCATTTCTAAGAATGTGGGAGACCATATGCAGCCATACAGGTACATGTGAAAATATAAAATTGTATTCTAAATGTTTCAAAACATGTGGAATGTGTATATATATAGGGGCGTATGTGGTACAAAATGAGTTTTTCGTGCAAAATTTGTATGATGCATCTTTACTTTATTTGTATTGCATATTGATGTTCAAAGTGTTGCATATTATTCTGCGATGAACTAAGCGGTTGCGTATTAATGTTCAAATTGTTGCATCCGGGAAAAATGGTTTATTTATAGTTTTTCTCTTATTGTACTACGTATGTATATATGTATATATATACACACAAAAAACCAAAATATGTATACACATACGCTAGATGCATTTGTCTATAACTTTATAAAACTATAGCCTGCTTGATCAATGTTTTCATCGGATAATTAAAGGACTAAAGCTAATCTAAATGTGTGGTCTACTTTAATTTCTTTGGATTTATGGCTAAGTACGAAACCAAAAAGAATGAGAATCCTATTACTTTGTGGCTAAGATTTCCGAGCACAAAAACTTCACTTAGTTTTGTTTTTTACTTTATTCCAAAGTATTCCTCATTTCACGTAATTTAAGATACTCCATAGTAATTTAAGATTGTGTTTCTAATTGTAAATTTTAATTTAAGGAACTCTACTACATGAGTCAATTTCGATTCGATTCGATTCATTTTTGTCGATTAGTATCAGTTTCGGTCAAGAAGTGATGCAAGTATTTTGGAAGCACGTGAAAAAGAACCATCGGTTCCGAACAGTAAGCCTACCCCGGTTCTGGTTCAAAACCCGCCGATTCCAGTTTCAGTTCCGGCTAAACTGGAAATCGGGGGCAGGTCTAAGTAGGAGTATAAATTGACAAACACATAGACGCGGCGGCCCGGCGGTCGCTTGAGGTTCCGGTGCTACCCGGATTCTTGCCATTGGTATCGAATCTTGAGGAATCAGATGCGTACTATATATATTGGCTGATGGATCAGCAGACTATTACAATATTCCTTCCCCTCCACTTATCTATGCTTATCCTTGATAAAACACCTCTTTTGAACTTGAAGAGTTGCCTCATTATCCAGTTGTTAAATTTATGGTTTGGAAATGACTTTTTTACCCACTCTTTTTCTTAACTATATTCTACTTGTAAAAAGGGAATATTCTTGTTCGAGGTAGAGTTTCTTTACTATTTAAAATGATGAATCATTAATCGAACAATGTCAATACACTAAAACCACTGTTCTGGACTAGGACTCCTAGGAGTGGTCGGTTTCACTACCCCTCATTTTTTGTCTCATTACGTATAATGATTACACAAAATTCTTAAAATATGCATTATTAGGAAATATTATTAGAGGTAGAGAGACTAAAGAGGCTGTTTCAATGAATAGCCCCCAGAACATATGAAAAGTTGAATGTTAGAAAATTCTCTCGAGATTATTATTGCTAGCAGATATTGACTTTTGGGGCAATGTCTGAAAACGGGTACAGAAAGAAAAAAATACTAATTTTATTTTGTGTGTGACCCCCTCTCACCCCACCGTAGGTGGGAGCCTTTGCGGCACTGGGGTAAAATGGTAAATGATGATTGATTGATTTTGTGTGTGAGTTTACCTTGGAAAATAAAATACAAAAAGATGAACTAAGTTTTTAAAATTTAGTCATATGTTTAGATTTCTTATATTTAAGTAATAGAGATATTGTAGTATGATAAAGTCAATATTGAAAAAAATGTTGAAAATGGCCTTTGTATTGGAGTTTGGAAATAAATTCATTTCTATTTCATACTTTTTTCCGTTCCAATTTTCCTATCTATGTACTGATTTACTTTCCTTGGTATTTGCCCACTTGAATATATACCCTTAGCAATTTAAGATGAAAATGGAAGTATTGAAAGAAAGAATATTAGGAACATACTTCCAATTCACACCTCCTAAATAATTTGTTTTTAGCTGATTTAAAATTATGTGATATTTTAATATAATCCTTTAATAAGTATATCATGTATTCAAACTATAGTTATTAGGATTATTAGCTTATTTTATCCCAAATTAAACTATCATCAAATTCACAAATCTATCTTCATTTTTATAAAAAAAAAAAGACTCAAACTTCATGTTTTTTTAAACAATTATGCTTTTCATTTTTGTTTTTTCAAAATTACACATTTTTATCAATGCCAATAAGATATAAGCAATACAATTTTGTAAACTTAAAACTAGAAAGAAGTGAAAAAATATGAAATATAAATAGAATTTTCTTCTTAATTAATTTTTACTAATTGTGAGAAAAGTTGAAGTTTGAGTCTTTTTTTGTTTAATAAAAGTACAAGTATGAGATAGATTTGTGAATTTCATGATAGTTGGGGATATATTTAGCTAATAATCCTAGTTATTATTGTGCAAGTTTGCATTTTGCATTTAAGTTGTGATTATTTTATAATGAAAACTACATTATACTTATATAATAATTTCATAAAAAGTCTTATAGATAAAATGTTTTTGTTTTTTAATATTTTAATAAATATATGAATAAAATATAGATAGTATATAATAACTATATGAAATAAATTGTTGTGATTATATTAACGATAATTCAAGCCGAACCAAACTAAAAACAATCAACTTAAGTGTACAATTGTACCAATTTGGACGAAGTCCGATTAGATAGCACCAAATGTAATTTGCTCATGAAAATACTTATAAGAAAAGAGGATGACATAAACAACAATTAATTATTTAAATTATGTTAGTCAAATAATAATTTAAATACAAGGTCGCTGTCTTTTCGTTTAGCAGTTTAGCGTCCATAACTTCTAACACGCTATTAGATATATGAATGTGTGTGAAAATAATGTTATAAATATTATAAATGTTAATGATTGTTAATTTAAAGATCGATGACTAGGAGCACAAAAAAAAAAATCTTAATATCATTATAGTAGGGGAAAAAAGTTCAATTTAAAGATGACAAGTGGAAATAATAAGTTAAATTATCGTTATTTTCATTAATAATTGAATGCATGGAATGATATTAATGATAACAGGTCTAATCTCTTTGAATTAGATTTAATCTACTCTCGTCATCAATAAACTTAAGTGCATAAGAAAGGGCCCAATCGGTGCACCATCTCCCACACCAACAACTAGCACCGACACACACAAGCTAAAAAATATAAAAAAAACAAAAAAAGGTCAAAAAACAAATTAATTGAAATCCAAAAACAAAAGAAAAATCTAAAGAGAGGATACGTGTCATGATACTTCACGCACAACTCCTCTACGTATCCAAATTCCAATCCCGCTCTTATCAATCGTTGACAAAAAGTGTCCGGGACAAATATTTGTTTTCCATAAAAGTGATCGAACTAATTTTGCAGGAAATTAATTAATAAATTAAAGCTCAGAGCTGCGTGTAGTTGAAGGGAAGGATTCTTTGTCTTGGATTAAAAAAAAAAACTCACTTTATCCATCTAACCTTCTTCTCTAGCTCCTTAAACTGAAAAAATTGAATCAAGAACTAGAGATGAACTTAAACGGAGGGAAGGATTTCTACTTCTCCACCACTCTGTCGAGTCGGGATATGATCAACGCTCTTGGATGGGCGATTATACTTTTTTTTAGTTGAGAAACACGGCCAAGATTTCTACTCCTCCACCGCTCTGTCGGGTAGGGAGGGTCGGGATATATGAGGACGTTTGGGTGGCTGAATGGGTGATTCTACTTTTTGGCGGATCTAAGCCAACCCGCTGCTAAAAGCAGCAGTTTCACGTTTACAAAATTCAGCGGTTTGAAGCATCCGCCTTTTTCCAAACGGACCCTTCTACTCCTCCACCACTCTGTCGCGTCGAGAGGGTCGGAGATTTGGAATATAAGGGTGATTGGGTGGGCGATTCTACTTTTTTGTTAAATTGAGAAAGACGGACTAGCCATCCCTTTCTCTAGTTGAGAGAGAAGGACGAATTACTAACCTTGTTTACGAGCCTTAACGCGAGCTGAAACGGCCAACCAAACTTTTCTGACCGGAAAAATCAACTTACGCCAACAATCACCCATCTTGGGTTTCTTCCTCCTCTTATCTCCGGCAGCCCGCAATCTACTCAATAATATCATCTTTGTCGTCGTCGTCGTCCCGGGGGCTTCCCCTGTTCTTTGTATCTTCTTCACTCTCTTCTCGACCTGTGTATATGAACGATCGACACAGGCACACATGGACAACATGCTAAAATGACATGGACTCAATCGATCAACAGAGAGAGAGATAGACAATATAATGGGCTAGGCTGCTGGGGGTGTTTTTCTTATACTACGTACATAAAAAAAAGGATGTATATATTCTCTATATATACGGAGTATATAAATGTAAAGTGGCTTGGGAAGCTGGGGTGACGGAGCTTTCGGGTGGAACAGTGGAGGTTGACCGTTGGCCTATGTGAGAGTCACTAATGGAACAGAACTTTTGTTTGATGGGGTGCTCTAAAAGATTGTAATTAAGGAGTATGACCATAGGAATATGTTTGGTTATGTTTGGTGTACACAAAAAGTGTATACTTTTTATACACTGCCTGTGTAAATAAGCAATTAGGAGATAAATGATGTCTCTTTGTTAATGAATTGCATGTGTACACAGACAACTAAAGGGGATGTATACAAAATGTTTACACATTTTGTGTACCTTAAACAATTTTGAATTAAGGTGTACAGTAATGTCACATTTTTTGTTCATAGCAACTTCGTGTAATGGGAATAAAATCATTTACATGCCCATGTTTTGTTCATTTTAAGGTGAATTGTTTGGGATATAGTCACGTAGATAATTTACTTTAAAAATTGAGAAAAAAGTCCCTTTCTTGTTTGTTAAATTACACCAATTTTAAATTTATATTGTTTTTATGGATTAGTTTTATAGTGTTCTATACTCTCTCCGTTCCATTGAACTTTGCAAACTTTTCTTATTCGGTTGTCTCAATTTTTTTTATCATTTTTGCATTAAGGTAACTGTTTTATTGTTCTGCTCATTTCTCTCTCCTATAACCACACAATCTTTATTATTCTTAATTCTCACCTAATTTAAAGAGGGCAAAGTCAATTGAGACGAAGGTAGTATTTTATTTATTAGTGTATTAAAGAGTTTTTCTTAAAACAAACTTATATATATACATATAGTATATTAATAATAATAATAATAATCAAAACCCTATTGGAGCAATATAATAGCAATTAATGCTACATAGGCATGGACCCGGTTCGGGCCGCCCGGCCCGGGACCGGCCCGGCCCGGCCCGCCACTGTGCGAGCCCGGAACCGGCCCGGTTCTCGGGTCCGGGTCCGGGTCCGGGTCGGGCCTCGGCCCGGTGGGGTGGGCGGGTCCGGGGTCGGGCCTTGTATTTGGCGAACCGGCCCGGCCGGGTCGGGCCCGGGCCCGGGCCGAAATGATTTTTTTTTTATTTTGTTTCATTTTTAGGGGTTAGGCGGGTTGGGCTTGATGGTTAGGAGGGGTTTGGGGGTTTGGGGGGGTGGGGGGGTGAGTGGGGGGGTTAGGAAAGCAAAAAAAAAAAAAAAAAAAAAAAAAGAATGACCGAACCGGAGGCCCGGCCCGGCCCCGGACCGGACCCGGTTTCTACCCGGGCCGGTCCCGGGCCTCCCTTCCCAAAAAAAAAGCCCGGCCGGGCCCGGCCCGGGTCCATGATTGAATTGCTACATTGGAATGTTAAATAGAGACAAAGAAAAAAAGGTCAATTCAATGAGGACGCTCAACCAGTTAAATCCGAATGAAACCATGGCAAGGGTGTAACTTGATTCAGTGAAAAAAGTTGGGCTTTACCCCGTTGATGTAAGATGGCTCTAGTAATTTCAAAAGCCCCAAAGAAGAAAGTTATCACACATGCTCGCTCTTAAACCATTCACATAATTCTGATCAAGAACATCCAACGGTAAGATGCATAAGACATGAACCTCTAGATTTCACCATGAACTCTAAGAAGTTGTTGCGCTCGTCTTAATCTTATTACTTATTGTTTATTCGTATTTTATTCAGATCAGATCAGAAAAATTCAAATCAGATCAGATCAGAAAGATTCAGATTCAGACCAGAAAGATTCAGATCAGATCAGATCAGAATAATTCAGATCAGATCAGATCAGAATAATTCAGATCAGATCAGAAATATTCAGATTAGATCAGGAACATTCAGATCAGATCAGGAACATTCAGATCAGATCAGAAAGATTCAGATCAGATCAGACCAGATCAAAAAAATTCAGATCAGATCAGATCAGAACTTAAAAGATTCAGATCAGAAGCATTCAGATCAGGTGAAGAGAACAGCTTCTAAATCTTGCAGGTTTGTCAGCCATCAAAAAGGAGTTAAATTTAGAATGTGTTCTAATTTCACCGATCACTAGAATAAAAACAATCCTTGTGATCTCATAGTCTTGACACAACAATGACTCGGATGGGGTGAGTAAGAAGTTGTTCTCTTCGCCTGATCTGAATGTTTCTGATCTGATCTGATCTGAATCTTTCTGATCTGATCTGAATGTTTCTGATCTGGTCTGAATGTTTCTGATCTGGTCTGATCTCATCTGAATGTTTCTGATATGACCTGAATCCTTCTGATCTGATCTGAATCTTTCTGATCTGATCTGATTTGAATATTTCTATAATTATAATTGTTGAGTTTAATCCCACACGATATAGTAAATATATGTATGAACACTCAGTTTTTACGTGGAAACCTGAAAGGGAGAAAACCACGGGACTTTTTAGGCTAATGTCCAAGCCCTCTCTTTCTCATTAGGACTCTCCTCACAATTACATTGTACAAGCTCCCATTAATGGAGTATTGAGCTAAGTCTAAAAGAATGAGGGAGGTGGAGCTAAAAGAGGATCCTTTACATGGAGGCTAAGCTCCATATTTATAGGAAATAGAGGGAAAGGGGGCTCTCCACCCTAACGGGCCGCATGGACCGGAATGGGCCCAAATGGCTAAAGTGGGCCAGAATGGGCCGAAACGGGCCTAGCTGCTTGGGCTCCGTACTGGATAATGTCTTCGGCTCCTGAACAGTAATAGGCCGGGATAATATATCCCAACAATAATTATAATAATAATTATTATAATTATTAAAATTGTAATTAAAAATATAATTTAAATAAAATTATAATTATAATCCTAACTATAATAATAATAATAATAATAATAATTAAAATTAAATTTAAAATGAAAAAAGTTATACCTATTACACTAATTATAAATATAGATACAATTATAATTGTAATTATATTTTTAATTATAATTAATTATGTATTTATAATTGTAATTATAATTACAATAGTAATAATAATATTATTAATAATAATTATAATAAAAATAATAATTATAATCATAATTTATAATTATAATATAATTATAAGTATAATTATATTAACAGTAATTATAATATTATAATATAATAATAGTAATATAAATACAATTAATATTATTATAAAGATATTATTATATTAATATTATTATTACAATAATATAATAATAATATGATTATTGTTATTATAATAAGTATTATATTATTATAATATTATATTATAATTATATTTATAATCATAATTGTAATTATGATTGTAATTATAATTATAATTATAATTAATTATAATTAAATATACTTATAATTATAATAATTATAATTGATTATACTTATAATTATAAGAATTATAATATAATATTATAATAATATTAATCATATTATTATAATTATTATATTGTAATAATAATAATAATAATAATAATAATAATAATAATAATATAATAATAATAATAATAATAATAATAATAATAATAATAATAATAATAATAATAATAATAATAATAATAACAACAATAATAATAATAAGAATAATAATAATAATGATGATGATGATGATGATGATGATGATGATGATGATGATGATGATGATGATGATGATGATGATGATGATGATGATGATGATGATGATGATGATGATGATGATGATGATGATGATGATGATGATGATGATGATGATGATGATGATGATGATGATGATGATGATGATGATGATGATGATGATGATGATGATGATGATGATGATGATGATGATGATGAGGATGATGACGATGATGACGATAATGACGATAATGACGATAATGACGATAATGACGATAATGACAATAATAACAATAATAACAATAATAACAATAATAACAATAATAACAATAATAACAATAATAACAATAATAACAATAATAACAATAATAACAATAATAACAATAATAACAATAATAACAATAATAACAATAATAACAATAATAACAATAATAATAATAATAATAATAATAATAATAATAATAATAATAATAATAATAATAATAATAATAATAATAATAATAATAATAATAATAATAATAATAATAATAATAATAATAATAATAATAATAATAATAATAATAATAATAATAATAATAATAATAATAATAATAATAATAATAATAATAATAATAATAATAATAATAATAATAATAATAATAATAATAATAATAATAATAATAATAATAATAATAATAATAATAATAATAAAAGTGAAAACTTTTCTGATCTGATCTGATCTGAATGTTTCTGATCTGATCTGAATCTTTCTGATCTGATCTGATCTGAATCTTTCTGATCTGATCTGATCTGATCTGAATAAAATAAGAATAAGCAATAAGTAATAAGAATAAGACGAACAGAACAGCACCTAACCTCAATATTGGAGTAGGAGATAAGTAGGTTCATAAGGAATGAAGAGATCAATACAAACCTCTTATGAGCACTCAAAAACACTAGATCAAAGATGTTGGAGAATATAGACCTGACAAGCAACGCTCACCCACTATATATAAAATATTTGATAACACTGGAAAATAAACATATCAAGTGAGCTAAAAATATTCATAAAATCTATTTTCATGGCCGGATAAACATTGAAAGAAGAGAATGAGGCGGTTAGTGTTTCCCTGTTGCCGCTCCTCTCACGCGGCTAGCTATGAAAGTTCATAAAATCGTTAATATTTTGCATTAAAAAGTTTTATTAAAATAAATAAATCAATTTTAATGTAAATTTTTGAATCCGTTCCTATTTATACTGTGGAGTAGTAGACAATGAAATAAATTAATGGTTAAAATCATGAGTTAAAAATCCAAATGACAAGTTTATATAGAGTATAATTAGTTATGAATTTGCAATGTTTAGTTACACATGAAGTCCGTTTAGTGACCCTGTTTTTCGGATTATCAGTCAATTTTTCACCAAACATGTATT